CAGCAAATTTTGATGTTTTAAATGTAAAGCTGATCTTGGGGTGCTTGGGTGGCTTAGTCAGTTGAGCTTCTGATTTCAGCTTAGGTCATGATTTTGCAGTCTGAGTTTGAGCCCCACATCGGGCTCTGTGCTGACAGCTCTGAGGCTAGAGCCTGCTTCGGATTGTGTGTCTCCCTCTTTCTCGCTCGCTCTCTCAAAAATAAACATTAAAAAAAATGTAAAGCTGACCTCACAATATGATTTAATATAGAATGAACAGTAATCATTCTAGACCAAAGTAACTCAATCTAGAACTTCATTTTTTTTCTTTTAAGAATTATAACTGTCAGTCTTGCTTGATTTCTTGAGGTACTGGACTTCAGTGTTGTGGTCATCATCATCTTGATTCCTTTACTAACACCCTCATTTCTGTGCGCCTGTTGCCCAGACCTCCTTATTTTGTGAGGTAGCTATGATTCCCATTTTACAGGTGAGAAAACTAAGAGTTGGAGGACTGAAGTGTCTTGTATAAAACCACATGGTCCCTATCTGGAAGAGGTGAAAATAAAATTGTGGTCCCATCTGACTCCCAAGTCCAGTGGTACCTCCTATTTAAATGTGTATCACCCATGTTGCAAAATGACTTTTGGGTTACTTTCAGTGATTTACTGATAGACTATGCTAGTTCTTAGTCTCTCCATATAATTCAATTGAATTTAGCTCCTTCTACTACCAGGAATTAAAAAAAAAAAAAAACATTTATTTCATAGACAAAAGGAAAAACAGAAAAGGCATGAGTTGCTCAAACCTTCCATTCTTTTTGGTCTTGAAGTAGAGGATGTAGGTGGTCTAGGTATACTGTCTCATGGTGGCTGTGGCTCATGATGAGCTTGGTGATCAAGGCTCCTTGTAGTTGGGATGAAAGGGGACTGTAGGCACCCAGCAGAGGGGACACATCTCTAATTAGGTTACCTCCATAAGACCTACAGAGACCAATGGGATTCTACCTGCTTTATGTTATTTGAGGAGAGTAAATTTGTTAGCAGTACAAATTGTAAAATGTGTATAGTCCTCTTGTATTTAACAACACAAAGTGATTGCTTCATGGAATATACATACTATCTGAACAGATTTCAGCTTTGCATTCCCGATGTTTTTAAAGTAGCTACTGTGTTCTCTTTCTAGTTCTATAACTTTATCCAGAGAGAAGAGGAAGTTCACTTGCTATTAACTTCTGTTTAATGAATCCACAGTGATGCTTCCTGGTTAATCACTTACTTCTTGTCTGAAAATCCTCAACTCATTTGTTTACTAGTTCATTTTATTGACCAGTTGTCAGATTTGCTAATCTATAGTTTTTGTCATCTAATATTTTCTAAAATCAGGCCATTTTCTGACCAAGTCTTTTGGCAATCCTCTTGTCTAAAATTTCTCAGAAATTATTTACCATGGTGTGGCTGTAAAATTTTTTCAGAGCTTAGAGTTGTAATTTGTCTGGTGTTGAAACTTAAATGCTTTGGGTAGATCACCAACCCACTCTTTAAAAAGATCTAATTATACCAATATCTGTTAATAGGCTTTGAGTTCCCTGTGTTAAAATGTGTTCTTTCTATAATATTTTCCATATAGGAAATAAAGTCTTTGCTTTCACTTTTTGGAGGTCAGTTCACCAGTAATCAGGAAACTTATGGAAAGGTAAGTTGAATTTATATTTTTCATTAGACCATGTGCAACATATTTATAAGTAGAATCTTGTATTTGAAGAGAAAAACTGCAAATCTTAAATTTATATTTGTATAGTTGCTTGTATCTGTTTCTAGGGGAAATTGAATAAAAAGTATATTTTTGGGGAAAAAAGTTGTGGTTTTGCAAAGTCATTCAAGTTTATTTTCAATATTCATTTAGTTTACTAGTTTTTTTAGCTCAGCATCTGTACCATAATGGGTATCTGTCCCTTAAATGAAAAAAAGGGCTGTTTTCCGTTGATGAGGTATGATTAGAATTTAGAATTTAGTGGAATTTCAGACTCATATTGAGAATTATTTAAAAATTTAAAATTGTGCATTTATGAGAATGTGAATTGATGAGATTTGTATTTTGTATTTGATAGTTTATCAGTGTATTAGAGAAGTTTGGAAAATAGAAAAAAGTCATTGACAATTCTTTCACATGACTTATAATTTGAGGGTACTGCCTTCCAGTCTCTTTTCATATGCTTTTTCCCCTTCAGTTCCAATACTATGAACTTCTGCAGTCTCTTTTTCACTTGATAATATTAATTATTAACATATGATTGATATTATTAATAGGCACGTATTGCTACGTAGCCTTCATCACTAACAGGGTTATATAATATTTCCATTGAAATTTTTCTGTAGACTAGTATAAATATTGGAAGAAGAAAGACAGGGTATGGAAGGGAGGATTTCTTCCAAAAAATGAGAGAACTTAGTTGAAAGTCGGCTATGGTTGGACTTTACTCCTGATTGACTTTCGTGTATTGAGGGAGGCGGAAAAGGGAGATTGTGGATATAATTGGGTGAAAGTGTTGAACTGAGGTCAGGAGGCTGCTTTGTGTTTATGTGTTCTGGCAAGGTGTTATTTGAGTGGAGATAAAAAGTGCCTTAATCTTGAGGGTTGAGACAGGGGATTGGTAAACCCTCCTGGGGCACCTGGAACTGTTTTCCTTAGGTAAAATAACAAATAATGATAATTTAATAACGTACCCTATGATTTTCCATCATAGTTATTTCAGAGTTCCTCATCTACCCACTCAGATGGCCACAACTACCTAAAAGAGAGGGATCATTCAAGAAATACATTACTTAGAAGTTAAAAATAAAATAGCTCCATTATAAGGAATGATAACAATAAAAAAATTCCGAGATTATACTATGGGGTAAAATACGCATCCTTTGCATTCATTATTTTGGTCAAAATACATAAGAGAACAAATACAGAATTAATCTTAACTGTGTATTTGCTGATCTTTGCATTTATAGTCATTTATAAAAATGTTCTGATGCTGTAGTTTAGTATCCTAACAAATAACCTGTTAAAATAATTCACTTTTTTACTATTGGAGCAATTTTTATTTTGGTTAGAGTCAGATCAGGTATTCTTACATAGACGTTGCAGATAGGAATCTCTCCTTATTGACTTCTTGAATAGAAGCATATGAGGCCATAAAACCAGTTACAAGTAAGTTGTATATATTGTTATTTTTTTTCAGTCTCCTTTTTGGATTCTTAGCATTCCCTCTGAAGATATTGCCAGAAACTTAATGAAACGGACAGTGTGTGCCAAGTAAGAGAAACTTATAATGTTTTCCTGCAGGTTGTACACCATACTTATACTACTCTGTCCTTTTTTGCTCTAGTGGCAGAGAATAGAAGGGGTTAGTTGTGGGGAGCTCACTGTAGCTTGCAGCTACATGAATTTGCCACTGGATGGTGGTGGTAGAACACGGAGTTCTCTGCTGAAACAGGGTGGGGGAATCTTAGTGGTGCAATGCATAAATAATTGTTTTGGAATAATGTTTTTAAACTTCTGTATAAACAGGAATATGGTATAAGATGTAAATGCTGTTAGAGGATAAATGCCACATTTAATTATAACCAAAGTATACAAAATCTAGATGGCTTTTAGTTGGGTGAGCTGATTCAGGTTGAAATGACAAAAAGTGAGGACTGCCATAAAATATGTTTTGATATTTTATTTGTTAGCAGAATCCTGACTATCATCTCTTGTGTGGAAAGGAAAGGAAGAGTTCGTTTTCAAAGGATAATATTCTCAATCCTAATGGCAGCATTAATTACAGTTACAAAGTAGTTTGAATTTAGATGCACAAAACTGTGCTACTATGTAGAATGCAGTTCCATTACAATGAATTCTTGCTTGCAGTGTTTGTTTGAAATTTGCTTGTAATTGTCTAAATGTTCCTGGAAATTGGTGGAAGCTTTAGGATTAAAAAAAATTTTTTTTGAACATGTATTAATTTTTGATAGACACAGAGCGCAAGAGGGGGAGGGGCACAGAGAGAGGGAGACACAGAATCCAAAGTAGGCTCCAGTCTCCGAGCTGTCAGCACAGAGCTTGATGCAGGGCTTGAACCCACAAACCGTGAGATCATGACTTGAGATGAAGTCAGACAGCCACCGAGGTGTCCTGGATTTTTTTTTTTTATATAGTAATTTGCTTTTTGTAATCGTTAGGAGAGTAACTACTAGTTACTAAATGTTAGTATTAGCTAAGTATTATTAATAGTAACATTTTAGCTGGTCTTTTTTCTTTTTGTCTTATGGAGAAGACTTTGGGAAAATTGGATTTACTGCACCTTTTCACCTGTTTCACTAAAATAAATGATGTTACTGCATGATTTGTATTCTGGTATAAGAATACAATGATGAAAACCTGGAAAAATCTTGACACATGTTAAATTTCCCTCCTTCTGTGTAAAGTGAAACTTCTCTGTGTAATTTGAACTAAAGCTATGTTGATTTTTAGGACACATTATTTCTAGCTTAGAAAATACAGGTGATAGTATTACTGTATTGTATTAGTGGAGCAAGCATAACGAACTAGGGAAGTAATTGTTATATATTACTGCACGAGCTGATTTCTTTACTGAATTTAGTACTAATCATTTATTTCCTAGGTCCATATTTGAACTATGGGGTCATGGAAAATCTCCCGAGGAGCTGTATAGTTCTCTTAAAAACTACCCTGCGGAGAAGATGGTGCGTAGTGAAATGCGGTTTTATATAGGTATATTTACATATACTGTAGAACTACTAAACTTAAAAGAATTTATCTGCTTTTATTTTAGGTTCCATTCCTACATTCAGATTCTACATATAAAATAAAGATTCACACATTTAATAAAACATTGTCACAAGAAGAAAAAGTCAAACGAATAGATGTAAGTGAATTTAGCTAAAATCAAGATCAAATGTAGTCTGGCTGCTGTTGATAGGTGATAGTACTCAGCTCTGGTAAGTGCTTGTTTTGTAGTACACTGTGTGCTAGGTCATTTTCATGTTTTGTCTTAATGCTGATACCAAACTTACAAGATAGGTATTATTCTGTAAGCACTATTTTTACTTTACTATTCTAATGAGACATGAGAATTACTTTTATTTTTTAGGCACTTGAATTTCTGCCATTTGAAGGAAAAGTGAATTTAAAGAAGCCACAGCATATATTCTCTATATTGGAGGATTATGGCTTGGACCCAAACTGCATCCCTGAGAATCCACATAATATTTATTTTGGTAGATGGGTAAGCAGGTGTTCTTGTTACCTATTTCAGATCGTTTCTTTAAAAGCTTAATGTTAGACCTTCGAAGGCTCAGAACTACTGTGTGAATTAAAATCGGTGGGAAATACGTGGTTATGTGTTCTGTTTGTTTTTTCAGAGATTCCTGTGAAGTGCAAGAGGCTTGTTAGATACAGGGTCTAGGTAGGAGGTGGTATATGGGGGAAAAATAATGTAAGACTTGTCTGAAAGTCTGAATTGCTTTTTAAGCAGAGAGAAGGCAGAGTGCTGTGATAGCTGAGGGATCTCCTTTGTGGAGCTCTCGAATTTGAGCTTGCCTACTGAAAAGAAATGAGATTACAGCAGAGCAGTTCTGCCCACTTCCCCTAAGGCTGTAAGTGGGTAATGGAAGCTGAGCCTTATGTTACAGAATATTGTTATTTAGCAGAAACAAAAGAGGTGGCTAAAGTTTATTCACCACCAACCCCTGGAATTGTTGCATTCAAATTCAATGCAAATTTAGTTTGAAAAGTCAAAGTCATTTGCAACCATTAAAAAATACAAGGTAATTGTCCATAATCACTTCAGTCACAGTTTTTAAAGGAACAAGTTTAGAGCAATGGTAAGTGGAAAGAAGTTCTTATCATTCAGATCCTGTGGTTTTATTGTGAATAATGATCTTAAGTCTGTTATGCAGTTACACTAATTTGAAGAATCTCTGATCTAGATTGCAGATGGACAGAGAGAGCTTATTGAGTCATACAGTGTTAAAAAGAGACACTTTATTGGAAATACGAGCATGGATGCTGGTTTATCATTTATCATGGCCAACCATGGAAAAGTGAAAGAAAATGATATTGTCTTTGATCCGTTTGTTGGAACAGGTATTTTTATTTAACTGCTAAAATAGTGCATAGATGTTACTTGTCTATATTAGTCAAGGTCATAGTAATATTTTTGCTAAAAGATTAGTACATTTGGACAATAATCATAATTATCATAAGACAGTGGCTAAGAGACAACCACATATTTGTGTAATAGCCCTGTATGTAACACTTTCACCACTTCAAAGATAATGCTGATACAATTTTGTGAACTTTTTCCCCAGGTAAGCCACTAGGTGGAGAAGCATACTGTCCACTGCAATACCATGCACTGTGGAAGTGTTTTGCAGCTATATAGTTTATTTAAGTAGGAGAACTCTTGGGTGGAAAAAAGACTTGAGTGACAAGACAAAAAAATGTGTTCATCATTTAAAATTGATAACCATATATTTACATGGAAAAAAATGGGTAATGTGTCTTATCTTTGGTGTGGTTTGTAGAGGTCTATAAGTAAGTGTGAAAGTAAGAAAAGTGACTAATTACCAATGGGCTAGAGCCTGGCTGCTGAGGCTGCAATCTGGGTTTTCTGTACACACTTGATTAGATGTCCGTATAATTAACTGTGTGTAGAAGACTTAAAATTCCAAATTTACCTCATATGGCTCTGTGAAGACATTTTCCTGCTTCACCCCATGTTTTGCTGGGTCTTATTCATGCCTAGGGGATACTAGCATTTAGGTTTGTCTGGCTAAATTCATTGTAATTCAGATTATGTAGGAACAAATTATATTTGTGGTTGGAGTTTCTCCCTGTAGCTGTCTTTCCTCATCAGAAACTTGGGAAGCAGTGTTGATGCAATAGCTAACGTTGTTGAATTAGAAAGAAAAAGGGGCGCCTGGGTGGCGCAGTCGGTTAAGCGTCCGACTTCAGCCAGGTCACGATCTCGCGGTCCGGGAGTTCGAGCCCCGCGTCAGGCTCTGGGCTGATGGCTCAGAGCCTGGAGCCTGTTTCCGATTCTGTGTCTCCCTCTCTCTCTGCCCCTCCCCCGTTCATGCTCTGTCTCTCTCTGTCCCAAAAATAAATAAACGTTGAAAAAAAAAAAAAAAAGAATTAGAAAGAAAAAATCTTCCTGAGGAGATTATGGCACAGGGAGAGGTTATGTGACTTAGCTAAGGTTATACAGTGTATAAATTTCATGAGATTGAAACTTAAGCAGTCTAACTCCAAAGCTCATGCCCTTGACTGCTATCCTATCTGTATTAGGATCTGTCGGCCAACTATTATACCATAAACTAACTTGAAGAATGTCTCCACATGTGATTAGGAAGAAATAGTATCAAAGTCAAGAGATTTCCAACTTGGAATGATTTTCTGTGTTTGTTGTTGAATTAATCTGCTAGTGAGTCTCTCTTCCCCACTCCACCAGTGTCTCCATATATCCCACATCGAACATATTATCTGTTTGTTTCTTTCTTCATTATCCTAAGTGCCTCCCCCCACTTTTTGTTTAAGTTTATTTTATTTTGAGAGAGAAAGAGAGAGCAAGCACATGGGAGGGAGGGGAGGGAGGGTGGAAGAGAGATAGGGGGTGGGGGGGGAGAATTCCAACCAGGTTCCAGGCTTCATGTTGTCAGCGCAGAGCCCCATGTGGGGCTTGAACCCATGACTGTGAGATCATGACCTGAGCTGAAATCATGAGTCGGACGCTTAACTGACTGAGCCACCCAGGCGCTCCCTCTCCCCACTTTTTTGTTAAACTCTTGTTGGAAATAATACCAAACTTATAGTAAAGATCTAAGAATAAAAATATAACAGAGAACACTGGCATATACTTGACGCAGATTAAACTATTATTAACGCTTGGCCTCATTTTGCTTTATTATTTGTTTTCTTTTTATGTTTTTTCAGGGAGACACGTTAAAACCACATAAATATTCTATTCCACATCTAAATTATCCTCACCCCTGTCAGGTTGTCAGGTTTAGCACTCGTTGATGATTCTTGCCTGAACCAGTCTTAACTTTGATGGTTACAAAGCGATGATTTCCAATAACAGCATTCCCCCCACAATAACCCTTTGACACTCACTTTATTATAAGCAAGAGCCCTTTCTTCTCTTCTATGTATTTATTATTAATATAAACTTGTAGATTCCCTTATTTCTCCTTAGTGGTCTATAATCCATTACTTATTTTGTTGCTCAAATTGTCCCACATTTGCCAAGTGAGAGCCCTTTTGCACTGGATTTTTGTGACACGTTTCTATCTTATTTTTGAGCACTTTCTTACTTTCTGGCTTATCTTTTTACCTGCCCAAATCCTGGAATCAGTCATTTCTCTAAGAAACCATTGTTTCTTTTAGTGAAAATGGGATTAGAGACCACCAAGGTCTGGGTGCTAGACATCTTTGTTTCTCAACTCTTTCAGCAGGGAAGCTAGGACACTTGTGTGTGTATGAGCACATTATGTGTATAAATGTGTATGCAGATACATGTTCCTACATGTTCATGTACACTGCAAATTCTGGTCTATGCTGACAGATTTCTTTCTTGCCTATCCCTATTCCATTTTTACATGTGCCTTCTTCTTCAGTGAGAATACTGTTTCTGCTCACCATGCACAGGTTTATTCTTTTGCTCATTCCTATCATGCATCTAAAATAGTTTCAAAATTGCTTTGTCCATACCTCTAAAAGCAAAGCAAAACAATACAAAACCCTATCAAAATGATACGTTTTTGGGGTATGTATTCAGTTCTCTACCTCACCTGTCAGTAAAGTCAAATATTGTGCTTCTTTTTCCCCTTCATTTACAAATCAGTTCGGAGTTCATTTTTTCTGTTTGCCCTCAGTTTTAGATTTTTACCTCCTTCCATTCTTGTTGATTTATTTTTAAATATGTAGAAGCTCAATTTGCTTCCAAAAGTCAACTATACAGGAGGTGTACTCAGACAGATGTCACTCCTCTCCTTATCTCTTCCACCCTCCTCCCCGCCTAATCCCTTGTAGATAACCAACTTCTTTTTTAGTTGATTCTCCATTTTTTTTTTTTAAGGATAAGCAGATATATGTACATTTTATTTCTTTTTTCTTACACAACTTTGCTTTTTTTCACTTAATAGTATTTCCTGGAAATCACTTTCTGTTAATTCACAGAGATTGTCTTCATTCTTTTTTATAGTTGTACTCCATGGGTGTATGTACTATAATTTATTCAAATGGTCTCCTATACTTGGACATGGGGAGTGTCCAGTGTTTTACAGTTATAAATCATGCCTGCAATGAATAATCTTTTGAATATATACTCGCATAATGTTGGAGATGTGGCTCTAAGGTAAATTCTTAAAAGTAGGATTGCTGGGTTGACGAATGTATGCATGTGTGTTTTGTTAAGTGCTGCCAAATTCCTCTCCATTGTGCCATTTTATATTCTTGCCAACAGCATATGAGAGTCCCTGTTCTCCTACAGCCTCACCAGCACGGTTCATTGTCCAGGTTTTCAGGTGTTGCCAGTCGGTTGGATGAAAATGTTATCTCGATGTAGTGTTATTTTGTATTTCTCTTATGAGTGAAGTTTAATAATCTTTGATTTTTTAGGGGGCACTTTTTTAACTTTTTTTGAATTATCTTTCCTCTCTTTTGTCCATTTTTATGTAGACATTTTGTTCTTTATTTTTGAAAGTATTTTGTATGTTAGGGACATTAGCCCTCCCTCTTCTTTCCTGTTGTTTTGTTTTTTGTTTTTGTTTTGCTTTTGTTTGTTTATTTTTTTCTCTTTTTTCTTTTTGAGAGAGGGTGTGCAGGCACGAGTGGGGGAGGGGCAGAGGAAGAGGGAGAGAGGGAATCCCAAGCAGGCTCCATACCCAGCGCAGAGCCCAAGGCAAGGGGTCACCATCTCACCACCATGAGATCATGACCTGAGTCAAAATCAAGAGTCTCTCAACTGACTGAGCCACTTAGGCACCCTCCTTATTTACCCCTGTTTTCCATATGTATATAAAATGTATAAATTATTAAATATGTACATATATATGTACACACATACAAAATTAAATATATTCTTTCCATTTGCCATTTAACTTTGCAAGTAATTGCTTTTTTGCCATTCAGAAGTTTTCCCTGCATCTAAGTTATATAGAGGAATCTGTTTTTCTTTTCGTGCTTCTATAGTTTTAATTTTTTTCTTTTAAATCTCTGGTTTATTTGGAATTTTTCTTGTATACTATGAGGAATGGATCCAATTTCTTTTTCCAAATGTTAAACCCTTTATTAATCCTTAATTTGTTCTTGAACTTTAACAACTTTTCCTGTGAACTGAGAAGTCTTTGAGATACATACATGTACATAATATGTATACAATATGTAGACAACACCATAAAGGTTACAGAGTTCCTAATGTACATAAAATTTCTTTCCTTTCCCTTGATGTATATGAGGTTGGGTGTATAATGAAATGCTAACTGCCACAGCAATCAAAATATTGATTACCTTCGGTGTTGTTAAGAGGCAAGGAGACCTGCCTCTAATTTAAGCTGCTTTAGAGCAGCTCCTTAGAGTGGTTAGGATATCTTGGTCATGTGACTGTTTGCATAGAACAATTAATGGAAATTTGCAAAGAGGAAGATCTTTGCAAAAAATGCTGCTAAAATATATTTTTGTAATTTGTGTTTGTAATCTAAGCATAGATTTCGAGCTTTAGTTTTTGGTGCTTTAGTTTTAACTTGGTGATAGTCCATAACTGTGAATAGACACAGTTCTAAGTATCATTTGTCCTCTTTCTTGGGCCTTTGTCTCACTGATGGGTAGTACCTTCTGAAGGATTGCAGAAATAGCCTAGTGCCCTCTTCCATGGCCATAGTTTTTCACAAAGTATTTGATGATATTTTTATCCTTGTTTCCTTTTCTAGTATTTAAAAACAAAGTCAAGTGCATTCAATCTTTTCTCATTTTAAAAGCACAAAATTAAAATGTATTGCATTCCCGAATGCTTTATCCACTGACTTCTCATGACCTGTGATTTTCTCAAGGTTACAGAGTAGAAGGTTTCTGGGAAACTGAAAGGAGAGCATAATCTTTTCCTGCCTAAATGCCTTTCCTTTTTCTTTGAGACAGTCTGCTATTGTTGTCTAGGATGACAGTATGAACTGCAGAAACACACTAGTTTTTCATTTTAGTGAATATGTTGAGTTTAACTTTAATAAGATTAAAATTTTTTTTTTGTTTATTTATTTATTTTTGAGAGAGAGACAGCTTGAGCGGGGGGAGGGGCAGGGAGAGGGAGACACAGAGTTCAAAGCAGGCTCCAGGCTGTGAACTGTCAGCACAGAGCCCACTGTAGGGCTCAAACTCACAAAACTCTGAGGTCATGACCTGAGCCAAAGTCGGATGCTTAACTGACTGAGCCACGCAGATGCCCCTTAATAAGATTTTTTAAAAGTTGTGTATCTCCATTTTTTTTCCTAAGAGAGGAGGTATGTATCATTGGCCAGCTCAATCCTCTTAGTATTTAGGAAGTTAGGAAGTCCTGTTGTTCTAATATGAGCACAGCTACAGGATGGATGAGCATGGATATGTTGAGTACTATAATGGTACCAGCCTGCCTGTGATATATAAGAGTTGTGAATGGTATACAAGTTATATTAACTGAGTGTGCCCCTTTACTTATTTAGTTTGATAACAAATTTAATTTTGTTTATCTAATTGGTAAGCTAAGTGTATATGTCATTTCAATTGGTGCTGACCCCAAAGGAAATTAAATGGCATAGAGAAAACAAATAGGATGAGTTTAAATCTTTATCAGTTATTATGTCACTTTGGGCAGCATTCTTTACTTGTCTGAGCCTCAGTTCCATCATTGATAAAATGGTAATAGTAATACATTGTGAGGTTAAGTGAGATAATACATGTATATGGAATTCTTAGGAAGTTGCCTGATGTATGTAGACACTCAGTGAACTGTAATGGTTATCACTATTTTTAAATTATTATTTTGTTAGAAGCATGGATGCCTGTTTGGTGAAAGATGTTAGATATAGCCAGTATTGAATGGTGATGATAAACAATTTGGCCATGAGCTCATTTTCTATTCCCTTCTTTGGCTAATTTCCAAGATACTCATAATTTGCAACTGTTGACAATTGTGACAACAGGCAAGGAAAGTGAGTTAAAATCATGAACATCTAATTCTTTGTAATGAAAATAATTGGTACAAGTGTCTGCCAGTTGTTCTAGGTAGCTGTCGTGTGATTTTAGGATGGAGCTTCATAGATACACTTTTGATTCCTTTTCTCCTCCATCTCAAGTAAGTCAGCTGTTATGGTAATTGAGAATATAGCCAAGAGACTATGAAGTATTCCTTGGCTGCTTCTACCTTCAGATAACCCATAGTATAGGGAAAGGGGTGTAGCTCCTTTTGGAATTTCATCGTTTCAGAATGATAGACACAGGTCCCAGGTGTTGGGAAACTGACTGTCCTGGTCATGGGAAGAGACAAGGAGGGAAGAGATAATTGATCCCTATAAACCTATGGAAGAGTCTCTGCTTCCTTCTCATTTTTGTCCACAACACTTTGTAGTCTCCTTTTCCTTTTCTTTGTAGACTGAATAGCTTACCTAGTAAAATTTTTATTTTCTAGCGATATCCTTTTGCTCAGGCAGCTGGTGTGACTTGGGTTCTATTTTAAAAAGGATAAAGTAGATATAATTGCACTTCATTTTTCCTCCTTCTCTCCTTTTCTTTCAGCAAAACCAAATCCCAATTTCTCATTTCTACACTTTTCTGAGGCTTTTCACTTAAATCTCTAACGATGAAAGTCATACATTAGTTTCTGTATTATAAAGAAGTTCCACTTATTGTGTCCTTTTGCCTATAAGATATTGTCCTAACCTTAAAGTGGTTACAGTTTAAGAAAGCAAATATTAAAACACTGAGTTTGTGGTATTTGTACACTTGATAGCATAGTAAGAAATTGGGTGAGTCATATTACCTGCTCCCTCACCACGTCACCCCTCCTTTATCACCCCTTCCACCAGAAAGCATCAAGGAAACTCCAACTGGACTAGAACTAAATGCAAAAAAAAAAAAAAAAAAAAAAAAGCTTCAATTTAATTGAGAAAACAACTAGATGATTAGCAGTGATTACCCAGGGACCAGTTCAGAGAAACTAATTTATAATGATTTTATTTAAAATTTGAAAGCTTAAAGGGCACGGAGTTAACAGATGCCGTCTAACGGATTATCCATCTCCTTCCAGCAGTGTGCTCTAAATTGGCTCTTCTCAAAACACACTCTAACCAAATGGATAAGGTTCTGTTTAAGGAAGCACAGGAAAGCTTTTCTGTTCCCCTTGGCAACTAGTTCTTCTAGGTGAGTATCTGCCTTAATTGGCAGAATTGTAGTAATTCCTCATAATTTGGGTGAAGTGATTTTGTGAGAATTCCAAGCCACACAATACAGTATCTTTCCTAAATATGGACGGTTCCATTTATAGAGCAAGAGTAGTAAGGTCATAGCTTACCTCTCACACAAATGCTTCTGGTAGTTAGTATGAGGGAACCTAGGTTTTGGTTTCTGCTGTACTTTTAGTCCTTCATTTCTCTTCTTCATGGACTTCAATAATAGCAGTCAGTTACAGTATTTTTCACAAGCAAAGTATATTTAAGTACATGTTCCCAGACTGTGTTTTAAATGGCTATGGAAGGAACACCATTCAATTACAGATCTTGACCCTCTGGAGGCACTACCCATCCTCGTGTTAGAGATGACCTTTGTAAAGGATATAAGGGAAAATACATAGTTATTTTCCCTTTTCTGAGTTGGTGCATAGTTTAAGAATATATTTCTGATGTCCGTTTTACTGACACGCCTTTCTACAGTATAGCTATTAGGACAGAGCATTTTACGTTGGATGATTAAAAAGTAAAGTTCAATGAGAAGTACAGTTACTAAAATATTTAACTTTGTGACTTTTTTCTTAAACAATTTAAAAATGTTATTACTTTTTAAAGACTTCCGTTAATTTTTAAATCTTTATTAGGATTTTCTTCGTATGTGAGCTGGTCACAGCTAACAAGTTTTTTAGTCCGGTCAAATTTCATTGGGATATTTGTTCTAACTTTGGTCACAGCACGAAGTAAACAGAAAAGTTGTATTATTTTTGTGTATGCTTGATAATAGTTATTCAGAAATTCATTTTTACAGTTTAAAAAAAGATTATCGCTTCACTGGTTACAGGAATAACTATTTCTTGTCCTAACATTTTAATTTTTGTAGGGATTAATGTCTTACATATTAATTATGCCCTATTTAGTTATTTGAAACCCTGATTTCAGTGGGAATTGAGCCCAAATGTCAGAATTTATTTATTGCCAACTCTTTATGTAGCAGCCTTTTGTGCTCATTTGTAAGCAAGGATCAAGATGCTTTGTATAGACGTCTCAAAGTCAGATGAAGATGTCTAAACATCCATTATTTTGATCAAAAAGTAATTTTCCCTAAGTAGTGCATTTAGAGTAATGATCCCAGGACATGCATTAATTCCCTACGTTGTGACCATTGTAATGAGCACAGCTTTGGGGTTTGTTTCTTTAGTTCTGAGGCCTGCTAAATATAGTCAGGACCAGTGTTACTCTATGGTACTCTGCCTACAGCTAGTCAGTAAGACTCTGGATCAAATTAAATAGGGGAAGAAACAATAGTCTGGGACTTTCTGGTTAAAAGACCATAATTGTGTGATTTTTTCAGGTGGCCTTCTGATAGCATCTGCTCATTTTGGTGCATATGTATGTGGGACAGACATAGACTACAATACAGTTCATGGCCTAGGTGAGTAGAGGTTCTAGACAGTGTTAGAGTCTTTGTTCTTGTACCAAATGTGCCTTTATAATAATTAAACAGGTTTATATGGTATTATACATCTATCTTTAGTGTTAAGGTACAGAGTTATGATATAATGTAGTTTTACTTATTTTTCCAAACAGTAAGATTTCATTGGTTATCTGCTTTTTATGAAGTGATCCAGTATGTACAAAGTGATCTCCTGGGTAACATAAAGATGGCTAAGGAAGAGCTCTCCCCTCAGAGGTATTTATGGTTTTAGTAAGAGAGATTTTTTTCCCCTTTGTTTTATAGTAAGAGATTTCTAAAAAGTTGGCAAACTACAAGGCTGTGAACTTTAGAGTTGGGAAAAAAGTTGGAGAGGGACTAGCCATTTTATTTATTTTTTAGAGAGAGAGGGCACAAGTGAGCAAGGGACAGAGAGAGAGAGAGAAAGAGAGAGGGAAGAGCTAGAGAGAAGCAGGGCTCACCCTAAGCGGGGCTTGTGCTCACCTGAAGCAGGGTTCAAGCTCATCTGATGTGGGACTTGAACTGATGAGCCATGAGATCATGATCTGGGCCGAAGTCAGATGCTTGACTAACTGAGCCCACCCGAGCGCCCAAAACAAGCCATTTTCTAATCAGCATGTCCATATTAATAAAACATACAGTTTCTTTTTAAAGATTGTCACCATTTTTTTATTCAGTAATCATATATTGTGTGAATACTAGATTAATTTCTAGTCCTTGAATACTATATCGATTTTAATTTCATAACCAACCAAAATATCTTTGAAACAGTTAAGGTGATAGTAACTTAGAAGATTCTGTGTTAGACTGAGGTTAACTTGAGACAAATATTTGCTTGCTTTTGAGGCAATTTTGGAAATTATTTTGAAATCTAGACACTTTGCTAATGTATGTATGTGATTGGATGGAATTGAATCAAACTGGAAAAATTTCTATATTTCCATATTCCCTGAATAGTACTAAAAATGTCAAGTTTCACTGATGATTTTGAAATTCTGTTCATGTTGGTATTCAATTATTGTATCTAGAATCAGCCTTTTGAACACCCTTTTTCTGTTTGTCACCCAGTTATTCTCAAGTTATTGTATTGGTAAGAATTTTCCATACTTTTCCCCCCTAAAAAATTTGATGTATTGTGCTTGATGAACAGTCTTTTTTCCTAACTTGACTATAAGGAATTTAGTATATTTATCATAAGGAAAATTGGTTATATTAAGTTCACCTAAATGGGCTATCCAGAAAAAGAGAGCAGGGAGAGTGCTAAGAATTATTCCAGTTAGCTTTTAGTAGAAGCAATATGTTTGCTTTAAGGGGATTGTCCTGTATAATTTAATAGAATTCTTATTTATGAAAATTATGTTTAAAGTTATTTATAACCTTTCAGTTTACTTGTATAGAATTCTGATTGAGGTTGAATTTTTTCAGAGCTTATCCCAGATGCTGTTAAATAGGCCCTTTGTTTCTTATGCTTATAATCTCTTTCTGTACTCTCTGAAATATTCTCAAATTTCTGCTATTTTAAAAATACAAAACCTGGGGCGCCTGGGTGGCGCAGTCGGTTGAGCGTCCGACTTCAGCCAGGTCACGATCTCGCGGTCCGTGAGTTCGAGCCCCGCGTCAGGCTCTGGGCTGATGGCTCGGAGCCTGGAGCCTGTTTCCGATTCTGTGTCTCCCTCTCTCTCTGCCCTTCCCCCGTTCATGCTCTGTCTCTCTCTGTCCCAAAAATAAATAAATGTTGAAAAAAAAAAAATTAAAAAAAAAAAATACAAAACCTTTTCTATTCCTGTAGGAGCCCTCTAGCTGCCACTATTTTCCTTTTCCTTTTGCCAAAGTGTATCTTGAAAGCTGGTATTTACTTGCTGTCTCTTTTTCTTCATCTTTCACTGTCTTCTGCCCAGTATTTTTTAACTTCTGTGCCTGCTGAAATCTCTTAGTAGGACCACAGATCTACAGCATTTGGCAGTGTTGACCTTTGTAAACCTCCCTTGGTTTCCTAGACAGTGATCTCATCAGGTGGTACTTGCTTGACTGTTCTGTCTCTGTCTCCTTAAGGCCTTGCAGTTTTCTTTGACCTGTATTAACATGTTGTTTTCTCCAGGCATCTCTCTTTGACCACTTCTCCTGTCACAGTGCATGTTATTCAGAGTCATGTCATTCTTCTTCTTTTGATTTTTAAATTTTGTTTCTATTGTGAAGTAGATCAAGATGCAGAAGAGTGTATAAAAATAGAATAACTATAGAACAAACACATAACTGCCACCTAGGTCAATAAAAATGTCATTCGTTCTTACAGGATAACTTTAAGTGCATATATTCTGGCCTGTACCCACTAAATAGCTCTTTCTGAATGATCTATAGGTAGCTGATAAGCAAGGTTGATACATCTCAAGTAAATCTCATTTTTTCCCTTAAACTTGTTTTCCTCTTGGTTTTTCTGATCTTAACAGCGTCATCATCCACTTGTGATGCCTAAACCAGAACTTTGAACTTCTTCCTTCAATCCTCATTTTAACTTTTCTTCTGTAATGTCTCCATTTTGCTTCCTCTCTCCATGGTCCTAGAGCTCCATATTTCCCAAGTTAGCTCTCTTCATTTATCATTTATCTGATTCATCACTATTTCTCTATGGGGCTGATTGCTCCTGCAGGAAAAGGACCATGTTCTTTTCAGCTCTGTATCTTACTTGTATATGCTTTGAGTTTGGTAAGTATTGAATGAGTGTTTTAAGGCAGTTTCACTTGAAAGGTGACAGAACAAGATCAGGTAGAAAGTATGTTTTACTGTTCAAAATATTTTTTGTAGTAAATGGAAATAAAAATAAGTTTATGTAAATAAAATTAATAACTTGAACAAGTTTTATTGTAAATATAGGTGTAAAGGAGTTAAAAATTACTTCTAGCTAAATGACAAGAAGTAAGAATGTTCTATTTGATTTAGTAGTTTCTGTATTCCTTTTTCTTTCCCTTCAGGAAAGGCTAGTAGGAAAAACCAGAAATGGAGAGGACCAGATGAAAACATTAGGGCAAATCTTCGGCAGTATGGTTTAGAGAAGTATTACCTTGATGTCCTGGTTTCAGATGCATCTAAACCTTCCTGGAGGAAGGGCACATATTTTGATGCAATCATCACTGATCGTAAGTTTATTTTTATACAAAAGTAGGAGTAGAATTAGTTCCCTAAAGTCACTTACACTTAAAATACAAAACTTAACACACACAAAAATGTCAGCCTTGTCTTCTCCCTACCTCTACTGTCTTCATATTTCTTTATTTTTCCCTCTTTATTTTTATAATATCCAGTCTAGTATCAGGTATTACATTTGGTAATCTCTTTTAGGCCTCTTTTAGTTTGTCACACTTTCACAGCCTTTCTTTTTTATGACACTGACATTTTTGAAGAACACATTGGTTTGCTGGCCCTCCCATGGTTTTAAGTAGAATCTTCCTTGTGTTGTGTATTCTTGGCTGGAATATTTAATGGGCAGCAATGCGTTCCTTGAGTGTCACTCTAGAGACCCATGATGTCCATCTGCGCCTCATTGGTGATTAGGTGACTTTTCACCACATTATTTGTTTTTTGCCTAGCCCCATATGGTATCAGAGAATCTACAAGAAGAACAGGTTCTCAGAAGGAAATACCAAAGGGGATCGAAAAATGGTAAGTGACAGTTAAATGCAATAGGTTACTATTTTGAAAAGAGCATGTTGTTCTTTTTAATTAGCATAGTTTAAGCCTTAAGATTTTTCATTGATTTTGAAATTTTGTTTTCTTTTTCTAGTCCAGAAAGCCATGTTCCTGTTTCCCTGAGTTATCATCTGAGTGACATGTTTTTTGACCTGTTAAACTTTGCAGCGGAGACCCTTGTATTAGGTGGAAGACTAGTCTATTGGTTACCAGTATACACACCAGAGTATGTAATATTAAATAATTTTATTTTTTAATTTCACTTTCATTATGGTATTTGTATATCTAGTATATTTTCCCCCTATTTCCAGTTGTATTCAGGGTAAATATATTTATGTTTAATGTTTATAACAGTCTTTGTTTACCTACATATGTGTATAAAACCAGCCCTTTTCTCTTATTGAATTGCTTTAACCTTTTTATTTTATATCAGAAGTTGGCAAACTATAGCCTGTGGGCCAGATGTGGTCCTCAGCCTATTTTTGTAAGGCACTTGAGCTGTGTTCTTACATTTTTAAAGAGTTGTTAAAAAATAAAAAAACAACAACAAAGAAAGACATGTTACAGAAACATATGTGGTCCACAAAGGCTAACGTACTTACTGTCTGGCCTTTTAGAGGAAAGGTTTGCCAACCACTGTTTTATACCATTTTTAACTCAGTGTCTGATAAATCATAGCTCTTCAGTAACTGTTTTGCCAGGCCACAAACATAGGTAATTTTTAACAGCTTAGTGGAGTGATTCATCTACTACTAGCTAGCTTTAAATATCTATTGGCTATTATGATCACCTTAAATTTTTTTTTTTTTTTTTTAATTAGAGCATGTGTGCATGGGAGAGAGGCAGAGAGAGAGAGAATCTTATATATTTTTTTTTTTTTTGAGAGAGAGAGAGAGTAAGGCAGAGAGAGAGGGGCAGAGAGGGAAACAGAGAATCCCAATCAGGCTCCATGCTGTCAGAGCAGAGCCTAATACTGGGCTCAATCCCACAAACCGTGAGATCATGACTTGAGCTGAATCATGAGTCAGATGCCTAACAGACTGAGCCACCCAAGTGCCCTGAGAGAATCTTAAGCAGGCTCCATGCTCAGTGAGGAGCCCCGTGCAGGGCTCAGTCCCACAACCCTGGGATCATGACCTGAGCTGAAATCAAGAGTCAGATGCTCAACCGACTGAGCTACCCAGGCTCCCTGCAATAAATCTTTTTTATTGTATTGTATTGTATTGTATTTTTTTATGCGTGAGCCGGGAGGGGAAGAGAGAGAGGGGGACAGAGGACCCAAAGTAGACTCTGTGCTGACAGCAGTGAGCCCAGTGTGGGGCTTGGACTCACGAACTGTGACATCATGACCTGAGCTGAAGTTGGATGCTCAACTGAGTGAGCCACCCAGGCGCAACATCTTTGTTAAAAACTAATACAAAATAAAAGTTGTGCATATATTTAAAGCCCTGATTATGTTCAATATTGTTGGTTTGGGTTTTATTATTCAGTAATTATTAATTATAAACAGAGCTGTATATAACAACAATGAAACACAGGATATCTTGAATAAGACAGCATCTTTAGATTTCAAAGATAGTTTAGAATTAGGTTCAAAATTTGGCTGTTTCTTCAATCTGCCATAGAAATATTTTTAAAAAATTATGTAGTTCCTGTATCTGCTATACATAATTATATAGAAAGCATTTTAGAACAGTGTTAACTTTCTGTCTTTTCAAAATGGCGGATGGTCCTTCAGCTGTTGGAAGCCGTGCTGGTTTTTGTTTTATAAATGTGTTGGAAGTTACCATGGCTTAACTTAAGTCATGCATTTGTTTATCATCTGATAAGACTGTATACATTCCTGCCCAGACTTCTTAACACTGACCTGTGATAGTCTCATTTAATCTTTTCATTTTAGAAATAAGGAAAATTACTTCCAAGGAGTGAAGTGACTTGTCTAAAGTAATAGCTAGCTAGCTAGCTAATTAGTTTCCTTATTCTCAGGGCTGTGTTCACTTAATTTAACAGTTTACCAGATCTCAGGTACCAGATCTTTATTAATATTTTCAGAGAAGAACACATTTATTTCTTTCTATACAAAAGTGGTTCCTGCCTTAGATAAGCTGAATTCCAGCAGTAAATTTTTAGAAAACTTATTTTGAGATAGTTTCAGACTTACATAGAAGTTTCAAATGTAGCACAAAAAATTCCCCTCATCCAGAGTTTCCAACCATTAATGTCATCTACTGTATCCTCCTTTCTCATTCATTACGTAATTACATACCCATTGTCATTCATCCTTTTTGAAACTAATTAAGAAGTTGCAGATAGTAATGCCCCATCACTTGTACTTCTCAGAAACCAGAACATTCTTGTCAAACCACAGTCAACCCTCCAAGTTTGGAAATCAGTATTGATAACACTGCTGTTCAGTACATGGACCTTATTCACATTTCATCAGTTGCAGTCCATCTGAGAAAATGTGCTCTATTAACCCATCTTGTCATTCTCCTCCAGTCTGGGATATGTCCCCATTCTTTTCTTTTGTGTCTTTGATAGTTTTGTAGAGTATACAGCGTATATTCTAAAGGTTGACCCTCAACCAGGGTCCATCTGATGTTTCTTTTTTATTTATTTATTTATTTTTAATATGAAATTTATTGTCAAATTGGTTTCCATACAACACCCAGTGCTCATCCCAACAGGTGTCCTCAGTGCCCATCACCCACTTT